GCTGGGAGCCCTCCATAAACTACCCTAAAGCCAGCCTAACTCCGGAATCTTTCAAAACCGCATTTAGGCTCCTTTAAAAGTAAGTCCTTTCCCCCTCAAACAGGAAAGTTCTGGTTACAAATCTCCAGCAGCGCACACTTCCTATACCCATTAAATTAGAATTTTCAACAACAACAACAATATTCATGATAATAAGAATTAAAGCTTGCCACCAAAGGGAGAAAGGGACACCCCAGCCCAGGTTTTACTGGGGTTATAATCCAGCAGCTTTGGACAGGAGTGGGGGTCAGTGGAGCCAGGATGAGCAAGGAAGGGGGTGGGGAACCCAACCTCTAACTAACAATTCTAACAATTTCTCCAGCATAAAAATGAAACATCAAATTCGTTAGCCCAGGGCCTTCATTTTTTCCCCTTCCACATTATAACTAGTTATTGAACTCGCTAGAAGATCTAAAGGCCATTTGCGAAGAGACAAATTTCAATGGAGTTTCCCCATCAATAACCCCATGGCAGTGACCTATTGGAACAAGTCAAACACCCGAGGTGAAATGCAGGTCACTCTGTCTAACCAATATTAAAATGCAGCCACTTTTTAAAAAGCCACTTTAAACGAGATTTGAGGAAAATCGAATTCCAAGGAAGGCAAAGCAAGGAGGGGGAAATCCAGGAGAGGACCTTGCCTATGGTCTCTGAAGAAACAAGAGAAATTTATCTTTAATATTTTAAAGGGGGGCAAATTAACATTCCATGATTGCTTTTTTTTTTGAGACTATAAGTGATTCCAGGAGAAAAAAAAAAGGTTGAGCATTTTCTGGTGACACGTCTGGGTTATTAAAATCATTTTAGACCAATTCATTACTTTTACTGACAAGAGATTTAAGAAAAAAATCAATTAAGCATTTGCATATTCTTTTGCATACATTAGCCCTGCCTGCTGGCATTAAAAAGGGACAAAAACACACGTACATACATACATACATACATACATACACACACGCAGAAAAAAATTGGATAAGAGTATTGCTTTAGTTGGGGTTTTCAAGTTGCTTGGAGAAAAAATAAAAATGAAATGAATTACTTGATTGCATACCATCTAAAAGTCAATTTATTTGAGAAAGAGGAAAAAGACATGTTGCAATTTTTAATCTCTAAAACAACAACAACAAAAACCTTATACACACACCAAAAAACATCCTGCACTTCTGAGAACGGAGAAAGCAATGACTCTCATTTTCCTTCTCTTTGCCTTCCAAGTCCTGAGTTGGTTCTCCCATTTATTTTTCCCCCTAGGAAAATCCAGGGAGTCTGAGAGGTGAGATTTTAATGCAGCACAGAATCTGTGGAGCCGCTGAGGTCTCTCAGCCGGCAGCTTGTTACTGGGGAGGGGAGGAATATGGGTTATCCAACGGTCAGTATGGTAATCCGGGCACAATAAGGCCTCGCACACAATGGACACATATTTTTCTTCAGCGGTGTCAGAAGGGAAGCGCTTTGTACTGAAACACGTTTCCGAAAGAGAAACCAGATCGAGATTTAGAAAGGAGGTGGGGTGGGGGGCATTCCGAGAGCGTTTGGAAGCTGGCAAAAGGTGGTTAGAAAAATAAAAAATAAAATTGGGACAGAGAGAGGTGGAGGGCAGAGCCGGGATGGAGAGATCCTTGGGCTGGCAAGGCAGGAGGCAGAGGGTGAAGCACAAAAGGAGACAGGACCAGATACAGGATTCATCACAGGCAAGAGCCGCTTTAGTCCCCCCACCCCATTAAGCCAATGCTAAGTGCAGGAGCCCTCCAAAGGGGGTTGATTTCTTTACTGGTAATAAGTGAAAATGTTTGTATGTATGTGTGCAGTGGAGTCTGGCTTGTTATTTTCCCCATATGTTAGGTGACTTCCTTGCCTATAGGAGCCCAAAGAGAGGTTTTTTTGGCTAAATGATGTAGATGAGTGTGAGCGTATTTGGGGGAATCTCCTAGATTTCACTTTCTGGATGTACATGTTGAATTAACTGTGCAAACCCGGAATGAGAACCACACTTATTTATGGTTGCATAAGGAGGCATTTAATATATTAATAAATATTATATATATATACATATATATGTATATATATACATATGCCATAATAACCAAGGATAGTCTTGATATTCAGTTGGAGGCATCTGAACTCACTGTATCTACTAAAAAATACTGGTCTGAAAAGTGGGTTTCCTGCTTTAGCTCCTTCAACCCACCTGCGGGAGCTCAGAATCCTGGGGATTGAGGGTGCAGGATGGGAAATACCTTGAGGACTCCCTAACAAGCCCAAGAGGGTGAAGAGATTGAAGAAATGAGGGTTGAGGAGGAGGCAGGGCTGGTGGAAGGTGAGTGTGAGGGCTGGGAGGAGGAGAGCCAGGGTAAGACCTCACCTCTTCAGGTGGGGAAGAGAATATTCCGAGCCATGATGGGGTGGGGCAGCCTGACCCAGGTGCTGGCTTAGAAGGGAGGTTGGGGGTGGGGCTGGAGGGGTTTCTCCTCCTTCAGCAACTCTAACCCTACCCAACCCTACCTGAGACCCCTGGAACTTTGGCTTTCCCCATGGGGCAGTCTGGGGCTGTGGTTCAGACTTTTTCTGTAGGTCAGCATTCAGCACTGGCTTCCCTTTGCCCTCTTCCAGAATCTTATAATCAACTCACCCCACCATCAATAATTACAAAAAATAAAACCCTCACACACTCCAAACCACTATCAACCATGCAGCAGCCTTCTCCTCCTCAAAGTCTCAAGTTCCAATTCCAATCAAACCAGCCTGTCCTCATGCACAGAGGGGTCCCACATAGGAGTGGACAGGGGTTCTCACCAACTGTGGAAATTTGGGGATGTCCTCCCAGAGATGGTCCACCTCCAGGGAATTCCTGTTCTCTCACTCACCTGGTGGCAGTGGGGCAGGGCACTATCCTCTTGGGGTATCCAGGGACACCCCCCAAACACCTATAAGCCTGGGGTGAGTGTGGGGGCCCTGAGCATTGGAGGAGGGAAGGTGGCCAGGGGCCCAGGCACAGAATCAGCCCCTCTGGGCAGTGGCTGTGGCCCAGCGTCTCTCTCATCCCTGCGCTCAGGGCCAGCCCTAATTTGTAAGTGGGGACCCTCTCCTGCATCTCAAAGGTAGTGAGAGGCAGGTAGAGAATCTCCCGCCTTCAGTCTCTCTCTCACAAGGGCTTTTTTTTTCTCTTTCCCCTCCTCATTCCCTTAATTGCAGATGTTCTAATTAAACCCTCAAATAGTTGTTATGCCGTTTTAAAAGGTACTTATTCAAGTGTCAACCAGGCTGGGCTGGGAGGAGGCAGCGTAGGGCGGCGAATTAAAGGTAGATTGACTAATCACGGCGGCGATCATAATAATAAAATCAGAGGGAAAAAAATCACATTACGACTTTTCGTGGAAAGGAGGGAGCAGGCAGCCAGCGGCCGCCAGCCCTGCGCCGCCGCCGACACAAAGAGTGCGGGCGATTCCGCGAGACTGATTTATGACGTTTTACAGCCCTATAAAAGCTGTAGCGACGAGGCAAGCGCTCCTACCACCGCTGGCAGATTTAGTCTAATAAATAAAACATAAACAGTTAACTTTATGTGTCACTTTTATTGTTATCAAGTAAAATATAGCCGAGCCCCGGCAAGCTATGATTTTAAACTATAATTGTTATCAAGTACAACAAGGGGACCCGGCTCCCTCCCTGGGTTCTCCCTCCTGTGCCCCCCCAACTCTGAATTATGGGATCAGTTAATTGGAATTGGTGGCATGACGTGGCCACCCCTAGCTGAGGGGGGTGGGGTGGGGGGGTGGAAAGCAGCCCTCCTTGCCCCCTCCCTCCTCCATGGCCCAGCTACCCTGATACCAGGGCATTCCTGTGAGTGGGTGGCAGAGGGAGGGAAGGGGGTGGGAGACCCCTGAGGCCCGCCCGGCCTCCCCAGTTTGGTGAGCTCACCCCTCAGCTTTTGGAAGGCAGCCTGAAGCTGGCCCTTGGGAATGTGTGTTTACATGTAAACACATGTGTTACATGGATACAATTCCTGGCCAAGCAGCAGGGTTTACCCACACAGGCCTCCCTCTTAGCTAGGTCTGCCCTCTGTGGGGATGGAGAAGAAAGCGCTCCCAGGGCCTTGGCTGGGCACCATCACAGGGCATTGATTCCTGGCACGCGGCTCTCCTCTTTCCCCCAGCTCCTTAGGAAGCAATCTTGGAGGTAGTTGTCGGAAAGCAGCAGGCCAGACGGAATGGAGAGTGGACACAGCAACCAGCAGTAGAAGAGATCCTCTGTTCCTGGGCTGGGGCAGGGAGGGTCAGTGGGTACTAAGGGAGGGCAAGGCTTCTGAACTCTGCTTTTGCCAACAACTTCCTGTCTCTCTTCAGCGGGGCCTCTACCCCCAGACCTCCAGAAATGACGTCAGATCATTTGCATCCCGCTGCCTCTACCTGCCCGGTCCAGCTGGGACCCTGCCTCGCCGGCCCCATGGCCAGAGGGTTGGGTGAGTGTGTATGGAGAAGGGGGCTGGACTCTGGTATCCTTGGATGGGGGGGAGCACCCCTGGCTCTTCAGCCTCCTGGGCTCTGCCTGGGCCCCTCCCCATCCAACCTCCACTCCAGTCCTCATTCAACTTCCTCTTCCTGCGAAAGAGGGGCGCTGCCCGGTGACCTACACAGACTGAGACAGGATCGCCATGAATGGAGACCTCTGGAAAAGCTCAGGAGTGGAGGCCCAACGGGCCCACCCGAGGCCCAAGGGGAGACCCTGAAAGAGGGCTGAATCACAGCCTCCCGACAGCCCCCCCCCCATGTCCAGTCTTTGAAGGGGAGCTGGGAGCTTCTCATTTCCTTTTGCAGGAGAGGGTTGTCAGTCGGCGGGGTATGCACTGGGGGCACCTCAGCCCCTGCCAGCTAACCCCACATCACCACCACCACCACCACCACCCCAGCATCACCACCACCACCACACACACAAAAAAATTGGATACATTTTGAATAAAGCGATTCGGTTCCTTATCCGGGGACTGAGTTGCTCCGTGTGATTGGCCGGCGGAGTCACATGGTGAAAGTAACTTTACAGGGTCGCTAGCTAGTAGGAGGGCTTTATGGAGCAGAAAAACGACAAAGCGAGAAAAATTATTTTCCACTCCAGAAATTAATGATCATGAGCTCGTATTTGATGGACTCTAACTACATCGATCCGAAATTTCCTCCATGCGAAGAATATTCGCAAAATAGCTACATCCCTGAACACAGTCCGGAATATTACAGCCGGACCAGGGAATCGGGATTCCAGCATCACCACCAGGAGCTGTACCCACCACCGCCTCCGCGCCCTAGCTACCCTGAGCGCCAATATAGCTGCACCAGTCTCCAGGGGCCGGGCAATTCGCGAGGCCACGGGCCGGCCCAGGCGGGCCACCACCACCCCGAGAAATCACAGCCGCTCTGCGAGCCGGCGCCTCTCTCAGGCGCCTCCGCCTCCCCGTCCCCAGCCCCGCCAGCCTGCAGCCAGCCAGCCCCTGACCATCCCTCCAGCGCCGCCAGCAAGCAACCCATAGTCTACCCATGGATGAAAAAAATCCACG